TATATAGCCTTGGTTGGCCTGGAACTCGCTATGAAGACAAGGCTGGCCTTGAACTCACAGAGATCTGTCTGCTTCTGCCTCCCAAGTGCTAGGATTAAAGGCATGTGCCACCTCATCTGGCTTTAAAAGTGTTTTGTGTATCTGAGGACCCCAGACGGAACTTTGAAGAAGACAGCCTCAAAAGTGGTGGCCCTTAAATAAAACTGATTTTCCTCCCCGACACTCTCTGCTCTTGGCTACTGGCTTTGAAGTGGTGAGTAGCAGGCATGAGTGTGGTAGGAGGGCTGCAGGTCTAGGAAGCAGGATTGAGTCCCAGATATGATGCTCCTCAAACCAGCAAGCGAGACCCCCATGGACAGGATGCCTAAGGGGGTAGGCTATCTAAGAACTAGATTCTTTCCTAGTGACATCTTCACAGGGAGGATGTCGCTCTGAGATGTTGCTCTGCAACTCCCCAAAAGAAAGTTCTGGCAACCCAGAAAGGTACTACTAATAACAGCACTTACAGTGAATCAAGCATAACACATTAAAAAACCCTAACCCTGAACTCTCCCAAGATGACATTATTACTGTTTAAAGATTAAGAAAATGAGGCACTGAGAGGTTAACACACCCGTCCAAGTCCACAGCGTTGATAGAGCTGACAGGGAACCAGGCAGCCCCAGAGCCCACACTCCTAACTAGCCACTCATGTAACCTGTCCCAGCGAGTGGGGTAGGGGAGACTGCCAAGCTGGGAGACGGAGAAGCAAAGGTCTGGGATGATTAGGGATGAAATCTGCTTCTCCCATACCCTTGCAATATGTACCTATCCCAGTCCTTCCCGATAGCATCTCTTAGAGATTCAAGTATCTTCATCCTCATCTTATGGCCCATGTAAATAACGCTCAGAGGAAAGAAGTTACTTGTTGAACATGGTGACATACACTTGGGAGTTTCAGCATTTGAGAGACTGAGGCAGGAGGATCACGAGTTTCAGGCCAGCCTGGGTTACATAGCAAGACCCATGTTAAAAAGCCAAGAGGAGGGAAGAGGAGAAGAGAGGGCCACTTGCTCAAAGTCACTTTTCAAGGATCTAATCTTCTTTATAATTCAAGCACCCCAGGACCCTCCTGCATCTGAGTCTTTGAGCAGGGCTTACTGAGGACTCTCAAGGCTACAAAGGATGCTAAGCCTACATTTTGTACCCTATGTCGCTAAGTTCCAGCAATAACCCTTACAGGAGGTTAGTCTCATTATTTCCATTCACAGGTAAGGAAAATGAGACCCGGAGAAGTCATGACCTTTGGCAGCATAATACAAGTCTCCAGTGCCCACTCTCTTTCTCCCATGGGAAATGAGAATCCAGGTGGATGCTGAGGGGAAGAGGAAGGCAGAGAGGCCTGGGGACAGAGGCAGGGTAAGGACAGTTTCCGATCGCATCATGATTCATTTTGGAGTCGATGAGGCCCTGAAACAGACATGGCGACTGGAGCCATTAGCCACAGAACCACCATCAGGGGAGTGGAGTTGGCTCTGGGACAGCAAGCCCCTCACCCCAGGCCATCTCCCACTAATGCTGAGAAGCTTGTCTGCCAATGCCAAAAGTTCTTATCTCTGCCTGCCTGGAATTGTCAAGCACTCCACATACTACCAAGTCCAGTGCCAGCCCAGGAGCCCAGAGCCCACCATGCTGGCCTCCCTGCCAACACATGGATCAAACTAGTCATAGCAGGCTGGCTCCTCCCAGGGTCCAGCTCCCACAGAGGCAACAGGAATGTGAGGAAGTGACATCTCTGGCCTCGGGTACCCATCTGCCCACTGGGAGTAAGTATAACAAATGCTAAGTCCCCCATGAGTCAAGCACTTCTCTAAATGCTTTCATATGTTAACTCTGTCACACTCCGAGTAACCCCTGAAGAAGATACAGTTAAAGAGACCGAGGCACATGCCCAAACCCACACAATTAGAGACAAATACAGTCAAGTTCTCTCTGCGCAAGCTGGCCTGGATCCCGTATCCTAGAAACATGGGCTTGGCAGTGCCAGGTCATGGGCACACACCCCCCGATAGGGGGGAAGCCATCCCCACAGCACACGCTCAGGGACTTGCCCCCTAATGAGCTCCTCGCCCATGAGAGACGCAGAAGAATCTAGCAGCAAGACCTGGAGTCCCAAAGATGTGGACCTCCTCACTGGAGAAGCCTCCTCGCCTCAGTATCTTTGTCTCTAAAGTGGGCACAGCATGTCAAACACAGAGCCCAGTGCCCAGGAAAGTCTGAGGTCATAGACAGTTAAGGATAGTTCTAATACAAGCTGGGTTTCCAGGAAACCCTGGAGAGTTGGGGGCAAAAGGACTTGGGACAGTGTCTCAGACCACCTCATTCCATGCAGGCCAGTGGTAGATGGTGGGCTGCCTTGGTCCCTCTCCCCAGCAGCTCAAGTCTAGCCCCAGAATCTGCAAGCTCCCCAGAAGCCCCCAGTAATTTCATATGGGGCCAGAGGACCAGAGCTGGAGCAGGGGCAGGCTCTCAGGCGAGCAAGGGATGCCTTGCCAGTGCCCCACCCACTGCATGAGAGGCCCCTTTGTGCCAGCCCTGCCCTACCCCCTACTTGCCATCTGCTGGGTCCCTGGAGGCTGGTCACCCTCGGCTGTCAGGGGCACTCACATGATGATGCCCCCATCTGCTGTGAGTCATAATGCAGGGTCTATAGGGCCACCCTGAGAACAAGAATGGAGATGCGGAGCTTCGGTGGGAAAGGATACAACACCCGGTTTGGGGCCTATGTTATCACATTTCCCCCAAGCTCCCCACAGCACATCTAATACCTCACTCCTTCCTCCCAGCCTGTCAGGGCCCTGCCCCTGCCCCTGCTACTTTAAAGCCTAACTTGAGTCTGTCCCTGCAAGGGCTCCAAGGTGGTTCTCTCTCATATCCCAGGCCAGGGTGGTAACATCCACCACAGCCCCCTTCATGGCTATCTGGGCCATGTCTCCTCCTACCCTTGTCAGGCAGGACCCTGCTAGGAAAGCCATCCCCACAGCACACACAGCCCCTGCCATAGCTCTGTCCCCTTTCTTCCCGGCCTGTCCTCATCGGCTGGCTGGGCTGTCACATTCACCTCTTTCCCCTCATCCAGGAAGCTATCCCCAAGCCTGAGGCTTAATCCAGCAACCAAGAGCTGAGTAGTCCAGCCAAACCCACAGCACTCACTTCCTACCCTCCCCATCCTGCTGCCCACACCCCTCACCACTGCTCTCCTTACACTGAAGATTGGGACCCTCTAGCATGACACCAAGTACTCGCAGGTGACCAATGCCAGGCCTGTAGTGCCATCCCCGGCTCTGTGCTTCCAGCTGTCATTGTTCCCCAAACTTTTCCCACATTATCTCCTCTGCCATGGACATCCACCCATTCCTTCTCAAATACTATCCAGCCCTCCTCCCCTCTGCTCAGTCCCCTCCTAGAGCACCCCCAGCTCCTGCCCTCTCTTCCAGTCTACCCATCTCCCTCCTCAATTACCCCTCCTCACTGGCTGGTCTGTACCCCTGACAGGATAGAATGGTCACATACTGCCCAGGCCACCCCAGCACAGGCTACCCCACACAGCCTCCTTTTCACAGATCACACAGGGTGCTGGGATCCCCTGGCTTGGTATTCTTGGAGCCTTGCCCACGAAGACAAGGAGGCTAGGATCATTCCCATGCCCATCTAGAAACCCAAAGGGAGGCCAGGCAAAGTGGTTTTGACAAAGATGGGCTGTAGCTCTGTTCCCTGGAGCTCCTCTAGCAAAGGGAGATGAGGCCTGACTCCAAGAGCTAGTGCAGTTCCTGGACAGGGCAGGGGCACAGAGAGGAGACCCCATTGGAGTGCTGGCCTGCACTTTGGGAACTCCTCAGCAGCCTGCAGCTCCTGATGACCAGAGCTATTGCTCCTCATAGTCTCTGACCTCTAGGGTCCAGCACTCTCCTCACCATGCCCTTGGGACAGTAGGGAGCACAGAGCAGGAGCTCAACGAATGCTCAATAAGCAGCTCCCTTGACTTTCTGAGGGAGATGTGGGGCTTTTCCCACCCATGTCACCCACCCCAGGCCACATCAGGCAAAAAGCAGAAAAGATGTCTGCTGCCTCTCACCCCTACCCTCTCAGTAAAATGAGCCTGTTGGAGGTCCTAACGGGCGCCACACACAGAGGTCCTAACGGTCGTACACACACACAGATGGTTGGTTGGGGAGTAGGGAGGACAGGAACCCCCTGTTTCCTACCCCAGTGGAAGGGGGAGTAAGGTCATATCAGGCCCAAGCAGCTGGGGCCCCAAGGTCTTGTGGTTAACGAGCAAGGAACTCTTGGGACCTCAGCCTCACTTCCCAGGACTCCCACCCCAGGTGCCTCCTGCTCAGACCCACTGATACCCCAAGTCTTCCTTTCTGAGTGACAAGTTGCTGGACTGCCCTGGCTCTTTAGGGGGGAGAGGGCAGTCCTGTCTTCCAAAGACAGCTATAGGGGAAGCCACATTCAGGGTACCATCTCCAGCCCCTTGAAGAACTCTCTCCTCTTAGAGAGACTCCATCTCTGGACTTGCTGTGTGATCTCACACAAGCCCCCGTCTTCCTTCTCTAGCTGCGCAATAGAATCAGAGATCTCTATAGTCCAGGCAGGCCTTGAACTAGCAATCCTCCTGCCTCAGCCTCCCCAAATGCTAGGATTACCGTGTCCAAATGCTAGGATTACCGTGTCCGGCTGGGAGCAGAGATTGAAAGGCCCAGAAAGCAGATACCAGGCTGCTGGGCCAGGGGATTGTACCACTCTGAGCCTTGATTTTTCAGCTGCCTTGATTACTTAGTCCTCCAAAGAGGTCTATGTCTTCTGATTCCCATCCCCTTCCTAGGCACCTTCCAGTCTAGAGACACCACAGACATTCTCATCAGAGCTAAAGCCCCCCAAGATCTAAGCTCACCAGTTCCCCTTTACACCCTAAACTCTCTGCCCAGCAGCCACACACACCCCTACCCCACCCCTACCTACTAGCCAGTCCTTGGTCCAGTACCTGGTGCCAGGTGGAGGGTCCTGGAAGGACTCAGACAGCTGAGCCCCTTTTCAAGATTCACTTTCTAAAATGAACCTGCTGTTCCAGGTCTCCTGTGAACAAGAGTGTAAGAACTAGCAAGTGCACTGACTGGGGGGCATGTGGGAGGCTCCTGGCAGCAGGCAGCCCCTCTTCTGCGGCAGAGCTGGGCAGTAGCCTATGTGGAACCAGGGGAGGGCTCAGACACCCTCCTGCCCCAGCACAGCTCCTCCCTCCACATTGGAGATGACATGACTGGCTAGCGCTATGACTGGCTAGCGCTAGCGTGAGTCATGGATTTCTCAGAGGGAAGCAGCAGGAGGCAGGGCTGAAGGAGGTAAGGCAGATACCCTGGGGGATGCCCATGACTCAGGCCCAGCAAGTGGGGACCTGGACCTCACCCCTCCCTTATCCCAGCTTCAGGGATAGACAAGGACTGTGCTGACTCTGCCTCCTCACCCCTCAGTTCTTTGATCCGGGGGGGGGGGGGCGGCCCCCACGCCACTCTGGCAAAGAAGCCAGGTTACCATGGCAATAGGTCATTTGGACGTTGTCTGTCCCCCTCCCACACCCCCTCCAGGCAACAATTGCCCCTTCCTGAAGGACAATCCAACCTCCTTGGCAGCAGGCAGGAGTCAGTGCTGACTGGCCAAGCGGAAGGCACACCAGGAGGTAGGGGTTGTCAAGCCACCTGGCATGAGGCCATGCATGACTGACTGCTGACCCTGAGTCTCTGAGCTGTCTTCCCAGCAAGGAGTCTGTTCAGGGTGCTCCATTCTTCTACAGTTTTAACCTATCAAAACTCAAGTCCGAGACCCTGAGATCTTAGGGGCTTCTGGAAATGGCCTTTAGTCTGTTTACAAAGCCAAAAGGTTCAGGTTGAAGAGTCCTCGAGAATGACTCCAAAAACTCAGAGCAGTTTGGAAATGGGCCAACACCATGCCTGCTCTGGCCACTGTCTGTGTTGGCTGCTCCTCCCACTGCAGGGGTTCACAGGGCCTACACAGTCTAGGGGGCAGAAGGGAGACCCCTACGTCTGCCCTCTTCCATAGAATGTGAATAAATGATTCTCAGCTCACAAGTGCTGTGAGGGTTTCACAACCTAAGGACAATCACAATAATGACAGTAATCAAGTAAGAACAATCACACTTACTGGCTCCAGACTTCCCTCGAGCCTTCTCCACAGCACTGCCCACACTAAACGAGCCCTCAATAAATACTCTCCAGGAATGTGGTGATAAAGCGGAAGGACAAAGCTTGAAGCTCAGAAAAGGGAGTTAACTTGTCCAGGATCACACAGCTGGGGAAGTGACTGTGCTGGTCAGGAGTCCAGAGGACACCTCTGGCTTCACAGCCAGTTCTAACTATTCACAAACCTGGCCTGCACAGGCCTCTGCTGAGGAGGCTGGATGTGGCAGGAGTCTGCATTCCAGAAAGTGCTGGGGAAGTCTCACAAAAGGAAGCTTTGCTGACAGCCTAGGAGGTTGGGATTGCTGTACCCCAAATCAAGCTGCAGGAGAAGAAAGGAGCTTGAAACCACCTTCCAGAAAGTCATCTGTACCCTCCGTTCTAACAGCCTGCTGCCCATGACACAGTGCCAGGATGGGCACTGGGTCCACATCAGGTATGCTGTCCCTACCCTGTGCCACTGTGGGCACTGCATTGTTGCTAGGGCAGGAATGGCCACCCACCCAGGAGCCACCAAGCAAGGGTAGAATGAGTTATGGAGCAAAGACGGAGTCCCTGATCTGTCATGTCCCAAGGCAGGTTGCTGCCTCTAGACCTCAGTTTCCCCAAGGTGGGTCCTTCAGGGCCCAGCCAGCTAGAAACTGAGGTTCTCCCACTGTTTCTGAGGGTCAAGAGCCAGCATGATAGCTGCAATCCCCCAGGAGGTGCTGGCCAGCAAAGCTCAGATGGAAAGGTAAGGGTGACCCCACCAATGCAGGTGGGATCTGAGCCTATAGTCAGGTGCTACCTTGGCCACCTAGAAAGAGCCAATGGGGCACCTGGCTAGGGTAGGGATGGGTTTGCCAAGTTGCTGCCCTGTGAGAGAACTACCCCTTCCCAGGCTCATTCAGAATCTGGCCAGGGTGAAGAGCCTGGTTCTCATCCATGATACCTGGGCCTGGTTCCCATCACCACAGCACCCCTAGAGTCTCCATGAGTCCAAGGAGAGGATGCATTAAATTACTGTTGAGCAATGCCACTCACTACTGGTTCTAGCCACAAGGGGAATGGTGGCCTGTCACATAGGAAGTTCACAGTGTAAGATGCTGGGCTCTGTGTGGAACATCTATCAGGTGGTACCACCATTGTGTGAGATGAAGATGATCAAAGACAAGGAGTAATTTAGCCAAGGCCATACACCTAGCATGCAGCTAGGACTCAGGCATACAGCAAACACCCAGCAAGTGTTAAGCCTGGAGTTTAACAAGATGCCCAGGTGGTTACAGCATCTGGCAAAGCTTAAGAATCCCTAGGTTTGACTCCAAGGATTTGAAGTAGGTTGGTGCTGTGGGGAGGTATGGGGAGGGACTGGGATCCAGCTGGGGCCTTAAAGTTGGAAACAGAGAGGCTAGGGATAAGACTCTGGCCTAAGAAACCAGAGAAGGGCTGAGGAAGGTTGCAATGGAGAGATGGGAGGTATCAGAAGCATCCCTGCCATGCAGGGTGGGGATTGGGTAAGCATAGTGGAATGGGAGTGCCCCTGCTGCATGGGAGACCCATATGTCCTCTCTGCTTCCAATGGCTACTTTGGAAACACCATGCCAGGGCTCAGCCATGAAGCTGGGGCTCTGCAGGCCCAGAAAGGGTAGAGGGAATTGTTAATCGGTAACAGAGCCAGGTATGGGTGGGGAGCTTGGAAAGCTGATGGTGTCCTTCCTTGAAAGAGAAGGAAGAGGGTGATGCTGATGCTGAGCCCAGGCCAATTGGCCAAAGCAGGCTCTGCCAGCTGATGACTGGGGCAGGTATCTCCACCCAGCCACCCCTGTCAGCCAAGTACAAAAATAGTACCACCTGCTCTTTTGGCACTGAGGAGAGATCTTGGGGACATGTGAACCCCAGGATGTGGCTAAGAAACCAATAAGTCTTGCTGCCTACTATGTCTGAAGCCTGAGGCAAGGCTTGGGCACAGAGAAGGATGGAGTATGTGACTAGTGGGACTTTAGGGAACCTTCAAGCCTTTGATTCCTTTCTAACCTGTCTGACAGAACAACAGAAAATATGAGCCAGCCTCATGAACAGTGAAGAGTGTGTCCACCCTTGCCAAGGAGTCAGACAGCTCCTGCATGCTCGGAGTATGTTTTGACTGGACAAGAGAAGTTCAAATCCAAGCTTCTCTTGCAAGCCCAGTGACTTTATATATTCTTAAGTACAATACCCAACACATAGAGGATAAAGTCCACACAAGGGCCAAAGGCCCAGCCCACCAACATCCAAAGCCCCCTCTATACAACATGGATTGCCAGCCTCTTTTTTACAGAGATGGAGACTGAAGTACAGAGAGAAGACCTCCCCCAAGTCATCCCAGACCCCTGTAGCCTATGACCTAGAAGGTGCATTTAGGGCTGTGCTCCCAGCCACCTCCCTGATGTCCCATCCCCCTTCTTTCCCATGGGAAAGCCTCCTTCCCACAAGCGTGGGGGCAGCCGAAGCTTCATGATAAAGCCACCTCCCATCACGTCGCCCCAGGGCCCAACAGGGATGGTGGTGCTCATGTGACTCAGACACCCTCACAAAGGCAGCTGTGTGCCAGTGCCCAGGCCAGCTTGGCCCACCCCAGGCCATCCCCCACCCCCACCCCCAAGCTGGGGAGGAGCAGGGAGCCTGGCAGGTCCAAGATGGGGGAAGCAGGAGCCTCTCTCAGCCGTTAAAGTGGGCTGAGCCTCGTGGGGATTCAAGCCCGGGCTTGGGGTGCAATGCATGATGCCAGCTTGAGTGGAATGAAGACCTAGCAAACAGGAGGAGAGATGAGCCCGCCCAGGTCCACTTCGACTGTTTTCTGAGACCTTATTTGGAGCTTCAAGGCTGGTGTCCACTACTCCTTAGCTCACTGGGGGAGAAGCCAAGCAGGTGCCCAGCCCACATTTACCTTCATCAGGTTTCCAAAGCCCTGGAGTTGAGATCTAGGAAGAGTCATGCCTCCAGGTGCCAGCAGAAACCCTTCCGGTCCCCACCTGGTCCTCTAACCCCTTGCCCAGAATAGGTCCGCTGTTAGCTGTTACAATGCCAGGCAAGGCTCCAAGGGGGCTCCGCTTCATTGACCACAGGAGAGGGAAGGAGACAAGACCAGAGTCACAACTGGAACCAGGGTCTGACTTTCAGGCCAGTTTCTTCCCCTAGGACTGTCTTCTGGTTCCAGCAGTGTTTTGAGCACATGCCAACAAGAAGTGGCCTGGGCCCTGGCACAGACACACTTTCTCCTTCTCTGTGCTTCCCCCGTTCCTGCCTGAGGGGAAGGGGCCCCTCAGCATGCTGTTCCTTAGCCCAGTTCAGGCTGGCTGCCCCAGGAGGTAGGCATGCCTGGGTGCCCAGCTGCCTGAGACAGAAGAGTAGCCTGGGCCATGGCCTCCTGTTCATGTCATGCATGGCATGAAAGAATGTTTGATCTTCCATCCAGCTCCCCAAGGGCACCTAGCAGGAGGGCTTGATCCAGCCAGAACAAGCCCCAAAAGTCAAACTGGCCATGCCTCTGCCTCTCAGCATTCAGACACCTCTGAGCCCAGGGCAAAGATGGGACATTGTGAATAAGCCCTCACCAGCCCAGTCACACATCTGCCAGCCTGAACCCCTCTTTCAGGAACCAGAGGTCCGGGGTCTTCCTGTAAGACCCTACGGATCTCTGACAGAGGTTCCCTCTACAGCCCAGGTGGTTGGAGCAGATTTTCAGGATAGAGCCCTCCTGCTCTGCTGTCTTCGGGGTGTCACTCCCAATCCAGTACTCTGCTCAGAGGCTGCCTGATCTGGGAAGTCAGTGACTGTGAGACTCCTCACCACTCTGGTTCCTACAACATTTGCTCCAAAGTCCCCTATAATTGGCCATGGGAGTCTGGCATCAAATTCCCTGCTTTGACCTTTATGTGCCTCAATGTTCTCACGTAGAAAATGGATTCAGCTTCTTCCTACCCACTAGCTTTGCTCTTGGGTATATGTAGGGGGTATAGGTATATGCGTATGTA